TCTAGAGAATCTAACAAAAACATACAGATAAACAATCATAAAAATTATCACAGAAAAGCATGTAAATCAAATTTTCTGCCTTAAACACGCTACACGTCCAGATCACTCAAGCCTTCCAATATTCTAACTATCGCAAAAAACTCGAAAAGTCGGTAAAGCTACTACAGAGAAAGAGATATACATGGCCTACGAGAGGCAGCCAAGGGGAAAAAAAGGCGCATTCCGCCTTGAAAGGCAGATACACAACAGATCCGTTGCCAAGCAGATCCTGGAGTATGGACCCAATGGTTTAGTGGTGTAGTGGGTAGCACGTCGCGTCCGGATGTGAAGAGAGGTGGTTCGATTCCTTCCCGGTTCCATAACCGTTTTCGAAAACGAACTCCGTTCACGACACTAACACAGTGGTCAAAACTGCATGCAAATGATACACCGAATGGAGATCAACTTTCCTATGTCGTTTGCTACCTAAACAATTATCTCGTTGTAGAAAATGCTAAATCCGTCTCTTGAAAAGACGAGGGGAGGAGGGAAAGGTGGACAAAGTAATGTGGTATTTCGTGGATGCGAACCTACAAAATCCATATGAGAAATCAAGATGTTATCACTGGAGTCTTACGGGCTAGTGGTGTGGAAGCACTGATGTTATTGCGATATAGTAATCATTCCGAATTAAAAATGTATTGAAAAAAATCTAGAACTAACAGTCTGTGAGCTACGACAACGAAACATACCATCAGAGCGGATTCTCTTAGACCATCATTTTGATCCATTAGACGCTGTATGATAATTTCAAGAACCGCGATCAGACTTGAATCTTTTTCAGGGCACCTGTCAAGAAGTTCGCAAAATGCTTCCAGCGACGCTTTCGCAAGTGGATACAATTCGGATGCATCCGTCGCAAGAATATGCAAAAGAAGCAAACAAACATTGTCCAGTGGGAGACTCTGTATTTCATCTTCCTGAAATGAACAAAAAAAAAAGAGGGTGTGTTGATGGTTTCGAGCAAAAAAGCTCTGGAACAAAATTAACACGTCTGTTTTTGCACCCTTCC